TCGTGGATACCGTTAATAACATCGAACTCAAGATTCTTACAACACCAAGTGGAAAGTTGATGATTGGCGATGCACAAGTTGTATCATCACCACCGAAGAGCCATCTATCTAATTCAATTGATGATGGACAAGAATGTACGACGGTGCTTTGCAAATGGAGAGCAATTATGGCCGATAAACTCTCAGCTCTCAAAAAAGGCTGCGGTGGCCAAGCCCAACCAACTTCTCACGACAACAGACCTCAAGGCCATGGACGTCCCCATCCTCACGGTCATCATGGAGGACACGGCGGCCACAGAGGTCATGGTGGCCATGGCGCTCATGGTAGACCTCATCGATTCTCTCACAAACACCACGGCATCGCCAGATTCTTGCGAGGTGTTGTCCTACACGTCTTCATTCCAGTTATCATTGGTGTCGTCGCAGGAATTACTGCCAGTCTTGTTGGTATGGTCGTCGGCCATTTTGTTATCTTCATGTGGCGTCTATTGTTCCGTAGAGGATCTCAAAGCCAATACACCAAGGTTCAGCAAGAAGATGCTGGTGTTGAATCAGGCATCGAAGAAGAGAAAGGTCTCATCCAACACCAAGGTCCACCTCCAGTCTACGAAGATGTTGTCAGGGAAGATAAGGAATAACCAATGAAATGAAAGAATGCAGTTAAATTCAATTGAATTGAAAACGTGGTCTCGGCTCTTCTTAATGACCTTGCCACAATTATGATAATCGAAGGTGAATTTGGGAAGAGGTTTCCTGGGAGTTTATATGGCGAGTTTGACGGGATTGCAAGAAATGGCATGTGGGTTTCAAGGGGGGCAAGGGTCGGATAATGAGCAACTAGTGACTTTTTTTTGGTAACATGTCAATTGTATGAATATATCAAGCGATCGTCTATTGCCTTTGAATGTTTCAGTACCTTCCATACCATATTTAACTCAATTTCATTCGTATGTTGCTTTGGAGAGTTGAATTAAAGTTCACAATGCTTCCTACACTGATTCAATAAAGCAGAAATTGGTGAACTAGTTTACCTTCCAACCCAGCAATAATTCAAGACATGAGATGGAAAACTCAATCTGGGCATCCATATTCCTCTCCATTTTCACTGGCCGCGTACTTGACTCCATTCTCTTTCTCTACCTTCTTTATTCTCAATTCAATCCATTTACATTGTACGTATATATATATGCATTTCTTACCTCTACATTGGTCTCGTACACTGTTATAACACATGTGTCGTAATGTTCTCTTTGACGTACGATACGTAGATGCTAGGAGACGATAGTTCACTATCTATTTTTTATCTACTTATGATGTATGCAGGTACCAGGGGTTAGGAAAGTTTGGAGGATAGGTCGAGTGTGAAATGGATGTTGGCTGATGTTTTTGTTTTGTGGAGGGGGTGGGATGGATATTGAGATGAGGTTTGGAGAATATTTGAAATGTGAATTTTTGGGCTTATTGATGGATGGGCATGGGATTTTTCATATGTGAGTTGTTCTTGGTGTGCGATAGAGGAGGCTGATTGCTATGAAGCCTATTTTTTTAAGCTTGGGCAGGTCTTAGGAAGGTTTGGGCAGAGGTGAGGTGTAGTGTGGTAATCGAGATGTACGTATGAAGAGGGGGATTTGTGCGCTGAGTTAAGCGGGATAGAGGGTGCAGGATCCGGTGTGTAGAATGAAGAGAGAGGCGTAGAATAAATGATAGTCCGTACGATTGTGATGAGATATGTTAATGTTGTACGATTACGCTTTCGTATGGCTAGGGCATATGATGTAGAGATTGAGGGGATCATTTTGGTTTCTTTCTGAGCTCCTGGAATATGAATTTTGGGAATCAAGACAGGTGTAGCCTGAGATGGCTAGGTGTGGGGTTTTAACTTTTAGCTTGGGGAAATTTGCTATTATGATATTGGTGGTGACGTGAAGGGAGATTCGAATGATGAGAAGATGTTGGGGGGAGTAGAGGGAAGGGGAGAGTAAATGTCATGATACATCTAGATCTATTGTTTTTTGGTGTCCGGGGTGAAGATAGGCGAAGATTGAGGCATAGAGGAATGGAATTGGCTGGATGGAATGAGAATAGAGGACTGGGAGATGGTAATAATGAATATAGTAATCGAGATGCAGACGAATGTACTCAGGATATGCGAGATATTGAAGAATGTTGAATAGGCTTTGTATGGGGGCTTGCTTTGGAGAAATGAATGTTTTGTTAGAGGTACAAAAAAAAAGGGGGGGAAACCTTCGAGGGGGGTGATACAAGCAGGGAAAATAAGAATGTAGATTTCGGATATTGAAAGATACTGAGTAGATTGATTGCTTTGATTTGGTTACTAGAAAGATGGTTGTGCAGTCCGAAAACTTTGGCAAATAGATTAGCAGCAGGCTGTTGACATGTAGTTTACGTTCAAGATGAGAGCTGTTGTGAAGCGGACGTCCGCGTTGGGCAGGTTTGAAATAAGGTGAATACCTGAAGGGGAATGAGTAATTGGCATGGGAGGAGTGCCCGAGAATGATTCATCATGTAAAGGAAAGTTGATTATTGGAGAGGATTCAATCGCCTATAATAATTGCATCGTCCGAGAGGGTTTGAATATCCGAAGTTGCTTCAGTTTTGAGATGTACTGAGTGTCTAAAATAGTTTACTTGTATGAAGGTACTTCCAATTCACTGAAATATCCACGACTCTAAAAGGATTTGAGAGATCATATCATGGTAAATATGTATGAATAGCAATGAAGGATTTGAGATTATTTGAGTGTTTGAATAACCTAGTACCAGTAATGATTTTCATTTTCGAAGGCCTCCTATTATAGAGTCTATTTTCTGAAGTCGTGTTGAAAAACCCAAGGTAAAAGCATCTCCTTTGGTAAATCCTAACATAAATTCTTGAACGCTTTCCGAGTGGACTTGACGCCCTTTCACTACTTTTGCAGTCGTAGCATAGAGGGTCCTCACTATATCATACTGATCCAAGTCCTCAACCAAGTTAATTGTGTGGATGAGTGAATACGTCATATCTGAGTTCAATATTCGATATAAATTATGAATCAAAGTTTGGTGGCAACAGCGATAACGAAGAATGGATGGTGCTTGGAGAACATCATTCTCAAACTCTTAGTCAGGACTTTTTTATTACAGACTCCTCTCAAACAGCACAGTTTAATGTCGCTATATGATTATGTTAATATTTGTCCTGTGTTTGCTATATTCAAGGCAACTGGCCTTAAAATCCGAGTCACCGAGTGGGATTGACTGCCCAGACTTCTTTCAACGATAAAGTGGTTGGACGTCGGTACTTAGGAATGTTTAGTTTATATCTCAAAAGTATATTGGCGCCAAGAAATCGAGAACATCGTGGCCATGATAACATTGCAGTGAGAGAAAAACAGATGTCAATTTTTGAGATTTTGTGGAGGATGGCAGAGGTATGCATCAGTTCTTGATATTGAAAATTGATTAAAAAAGGTCCACTTGGACAGAGATGTGAGGAACGGAGCTGAAGCCTGAAAGAGGAAGGCACTGACAGTATGTGATGGCTGCTTATCTCACTACAGAATGGATAAGCGAAGCATTAAAGAAGATGAGGGATCACAAAGAGCTGTAGAGCAAATTCTGTGGGGTTTCTTTCTCCTGTGGCACTTCGACACCATCATGTCCGCCGATTTTGATAGGCCAGTGGAGGGTATGAAGATCATGGCAGACTCTTGCACCCATGGGCATAAGGATTGGGAGGGGCTGCTTACGATGAGCAAGATATCGTGGTATCGAAGGTAATAGGACAGAGTATCCGTCATAGCTTCAATCAATGGTGATGCCTCATTCCACGGCGGCAATCGCCCATCGACAATAATGGTGAGTTATTTAAATGTGGTCTAGGCAATGATTGAAAGTTGAGATTGGCTCGAACTGATATCCAAACACGTGGGTAATGAAGGATTTTCACAAAAATGTGGGATCGAATGTTGCTACAATGAGGAGCCTCCGGAAATAGACGAGATCCTGCTGTCCACCGGGACGAATCGGATCTCGTACCAGATTAACACACATCGGATGTGCATGATGGATGCGATAGCAGATACAGCATGTTCAATATACGTTCGGCTGAACCCATGTAACCTAGGTGGATTTTTTCGGGAAGAGCCGAGGCAAGACTTCGCATTTTATGAGGCTCGGTACCGGCAAAATTGTTAGTCTCTTTTCTTCAACCATTTTACTTCCAGACAGCGTCTACGATAGATCTTTATTGTTAAAAAAGTATAATGATATAGTTTACGGAACTAATGAAATGTCCTTAAAACCCAAGCCATCGCTTGCCAGTTTAGGGCGGGGAGACAAAAATGGTGCAATACTTTACACGCTGAAGCCATCTCTAAAACAAGCCTTTGACCCATATGTCCACTGAAAACATCATCAGATGAAGAATATCGTACGAGAAGCATATTTTTCATGCAGGCAAAGATGAATACATGTTAGCGTGACATACATATCGATGTTCTTAGCTTCCGTGGCGTCCTACCTTGCAAAGTTGCTAGCGGATTATCATGTAATCTGCATTGCAGAAGATCTATAGGGTCTTGTCCCAAAAGATTGGGATTTAGCTCCAATACTTTTTGCGCTCCACTTCATGTCAATGAGCCTTGCAGCTGCGAGCACCGCCTGCCTGTTGTCACAACGGTGCTGCAGTCACTCATTCTAACTTGAAAGTTTGTCAAGCTCGGAAAGACGAGGACTCGGCTTCAAGTCTGGCCACGCCCATGTCGCAATTCAGAGGAAGCCCTCAATTGCTCTTGCATGCTTTCATCTATCCAGCCAAGTCATCAATCTATCACGGAAAAATACTCACTTCCTTTGGCGGTGCATGTGATAACTTCATCAATTTTCTTGCACCAATCATAGAAGACATGGTTTGAAGTATCCAAGTATATAACACCAAGAACTTCTCAGGAAAAACCCATTCTCAACAACAACTGCTCCCTTTGTATACATCGATTAATCATGTATCTCTCAATCCCAATCCTTTCATTTGCGGCCACTCTTCTGGGAGCAGTCTCTGCCGCTCCTCTAGAGGCACGAGCGGTCTCCAGGACCTCTGCACCATCAGGTGCTATTATTGTCGATGCAACCGGCGAAACATCAGGATCATACGACACATTTCAAAAAGGAGTGAATGCCCTCTCCACCACTACCACCACACCTCAATATCTCTTCATCTACCCTGGAACCTATACCGAACAAGTATATGTCCCAGCACTCAAATCCAACCTCACAATCCAGGGGTATACTACAGATGCAAGCACCTATGCTGGTAACCAAGTCACTTTGACTTACAACCTTGCACTCAAAGACACTACCTCCGATGATTTGACAGCTACTTTACGTCAATGGAACAAGAACACCAAGGTCTACAATCTCATTATTAAGAACACATTCGGACATGTCAATACCAACGGTCAAAATCTTGCTATCTCTGCCCGTAAGTTCATTGGTCCAATATATTCTTCACCCAATCCGTCCTAAATCGTTCCTCTCTACGAGAAATTTTATTGTCTATCATCTTTCAACATTGAAGCCCCAATGTTTTCGTTAGAGATAAATACTGATTCACGCTATTCATAGGACACCACAAACCAAGGATATTATGCTACCCAATTCATCGGATACCAGGATACTATTCTTGCTAACACCGGAACTCAACTCTATGCCAAATGTCTCGTCGTCGGTGCCATCGACTTCATCTTCGGTCAAACCGCTCAAGCCTGGTTCGAGAACAACGACATCCGCACCATTGCCGCCGGATCCATCACTGCATCCGGACGTGCCTCTGACAGTAATCCATCTTGGTATGTGATCAACAACTCGAACATTCAAAACATCGATTCCAGCGTCACCACCTACAACAACTACTTGGGACGTCCATGGCAAAACTATGCCAGAGTCGTTTTCCAAAACTCTTACTTGGGAAACAACATCAACGCTGCTGGGTGGAGTGTTTGGAGTAGCTCTACCGCTAATACTGAGCATGTTGTTTTTGAAGAGTAGGTCGTTCATCTTATCTCACATAGAAAAGTACTAACACTCAGTAGATATGGCAACACTGGACCTGGTTCCAATTCTTCTGAAGGACCAAGAGCAAACTTCAGTTCCTCCATCAGCAACGCCGTTCCCATCACCACCGTTTTGGGAAGTGCTTATTTGAACGAATGGTGGGTTGACAGCAGTTATTTGTAAAGAGATAACTATGGGGTTTTTGTTTAAAAACGAGATCCAAACGATTGGATGTGAAAGGGCAGTGATCAATGAATGAAGGGATTCCAGAGATATAGTATTGGGATCTGACGATATTAAATAATGAATTAATAATTGATGATTCACATTTATTTGCCAGTTCTGTGTGTTTGTTATAGTGAAGCTCATATTATCCTTCGAAAATTTCCGTCTCATGGGCAGATCATTAACATATCATCAGCGGCTTTCAATACACTCCCAATTGCGACTCGACAGCATGGAATTGTGTGTGAATCCCTAAGCTGTTTCGTTCAACAAACCTATGTACTTTTGTTGCTCAAACCCATTTCACCAATACCACAACCCAAAGAAAATATCCCAACTTCCACATCATCCCATCATTATCAATATACTACAATCCCTTGAGGCTAGATACTGATTTATGTACAATAAATACAATCCAGATATCCCCTGGTACCATCAATATACTAAAAATTTTCCTAACCCCCAGAGTATTCAAGCATGTTCTTATAATAAGAAAACAATAAACACTACAGCGATATTAAAAAGCCCATACCCATCTAACGAAACAAACTTTCACTCCCCACACTTTTACCCTTGATATTTTAAAACTCTTCACTTTCTCCCAACAAATCACAACAATGATTCAATCCGAATTAGTGTAGGGGTTAACATAACTCGCTTTCATGGTTCTCATCCAGATCCGAGTAGCCCCGGGTTCGATTCCCGGATTCGGAATCTACCTTTTTTGCATTTTCTCCCATCTTTGGAGATAGACAGAGAGAGACATCTTTTTTAACTATTTGAGTGCAGTTGTTTTGGTTTTGCCATCTTTTTGGTGAGGATTTTGGCGGGGTAGGTGGCCGAGGCGTAAGGGGAGTGGAGTAGCCGGAGTTGAGCCGCGCCGTGAAAGGGAAAATTGTAAATGCGAAAAGCAATACCAAATACTGGCTCGATTGGGTAATGAACGAGCATCAAATTCAAAGAAGAATAACTAAAGAGCTACGACTAGCAATTTTGAAGATACACGTGTTCATAATTTTAGATATCTATCTATCTCCTCACCATGCAAGAAAGCACACGCTACATACATAAATTTCTCCCTCTCCTCGCAGCTCCCACTACAATCGCCTCATGAAGCAATGCCAACAAATGCTAAACACTCCATCCACCACCGGCCATCAAAAATCTAGGAGTTGAACCTGGATCTACTATAAACAAGAGGGTTGTTTGTACTGATTTTAATTACATTTTTGCAGATACACAGACCCAGGAGAAAGAAAGGAAAACAAACGCCCTACGCCTCGCAATCCTCATGATATCTTTTGTTCTTTTATTCTAGGCAGTGAAGATTTGAATACCATAGTACCTCCCTCATCTCTGCTCTATGTATGGACTATCGTGATATAATCAATTCTATACTTGACTGTGTATCTTGCTCTGTCTTGTCCTTGCTAGTCTATCGTTCGCGTTGGACCAATGTCCATTCATACTATTAGTATTATAATTAGCTTGCACTTTCATAAAACGAAGAGAAAATTTTTTCTACTCACCACTCTCCCCTCTTCATCCCCAGTATAAACTCCTTTCTCCATGGGTACCACACAAGTAATACCCGCCTCCACATTTCCATTGATCGTTGTCCTTCTTCCATGCGGCCCTGCCGATCTATTGACACTCGCATCTCTCCTTACTTCATCCACATGATCTAATCTCTTCACCAGTTCTAATTCCCATTTCCCACTTTGTTTGCCCACAATTTTACGCCATATACATACTATTCCTCTTTTATGTCCCGTGAATAATAATGTACTCTCCAACCATTCATTTCCAGTACCTTCGTAAAATGCACAACTATGTACATAATCATCATGTCCTAGATCTGTACAGACATTTTGCTCGAGTAGTGCTTCGCCGTTCAAAGTATAGAGAGCAATCTTTTGACCGCGACATAACATGATATCACCAGTCACATCATTAATACGTGCGCATTCGACAGCACGACCATGAGTAAGTTTGCGAACGAATTCTAGACGATTAAGATCCCAGAGAAGGACGACACCGTCGGATGATGCGCTGAGCATTGTACTGAAGGATTTACTGACTGCGAGAGTAGTCACGGGTGTTTTGTGTCCGAAGAGAGAAGAGCGAGGTTGGAGGTCAACAGTTTTCGACGAGGATGTTATGATTGTATGAGCGGAAATGACACAATCTTCGCCAGCTGTGATGAGTGTTTGTGAAGAGGCAAAAATGACGGTAGATAATTGACCTTGATGAAGGTTCTCAAAGAGTCCAGCGAGCTTTTTGGAGTCGTTGAAGTAAAACCGGACGCTGTTATCGGCAAAGCCCCATTCCAGGTATTTATCATAGCTTGGAGGAAGATTTAGACGGAATGCTGTGGAACAGAGAAGTCGATCTAGCTTAGCGGAGTAAGTGAGTGATGCGACACGCTCGTGACTTTCTATCAACGGAAATGGTAGTCGAGTCAGAGAATCTGCTGAGGTATCCAGTCTCTTTGTTTTTTGACGCATATCTTCTCTAGATTGATGAGGTTTAGAAAATACTTGATGAGGTGTTTGACCAAAATTATGAATGATTCCGATCGTAGCTAGCCTTTCGACTGGATCTTCAATAGTATCAAGATTCTTTGCACCGTGATATGAAAGATGGTGGAATACGTTCACACTTTCTATAGCGGCGTCTCCACGTTGCTTGCAACCGAAGATAAGATCAATCCACTGGTGTAAATTCTTACTCACATATGGGCTTTCTAAAGCCTCGCGATGTTTAGCAATGAATATTTTAGGATCGCCCTTAGCCCATGGTGGAAGGTCAACAGTATCTATACCCCCACCGTCCCCTTGTCGCAAGCCAAAATTGTATCCATTGTTATTCGTAAGGAATTCTGGAAGGTAAAAGAATTCCGGTATGAGCTCTCTCACATCAGACATGTTGTTCCTGGATGCAGAATCCCAAGCTTTCGCGATGGAATAGAACAATCGATCAGGATGGTCAAAATTACCACCCTGAAGTAGCAAGTATGATTGAACGAAAGGTTGAAGTCTGATCAAATACGATGTAACAATCATGGCTGATGAGTAATGAGTACCATAATGGAAGGCGGGAGTAGTGCTATCCATTTCCGCAAATGTTTTATACCTCTCAATAAAGTCCGCTTGACGGGAGTTGTGTTGCGCACCCATCGGCTTTGATAGGTCTCGGAATGAAGCAGGATTTTTGAGATCTAGCTCTTCACTAGTATAATCGGCCAGAACCCAAGGGAAGACAGGATATTGTGTAAGATCATTAAAAGTACGACCAGCCATTGTATTGACGAGCATCAAGTAGTGAAAATTTGATATTTCTCCTTTCGCCCATCGTCGCATTGCTGGATTCCAAGCAGAAGAGTTGAAGATGTTGCCAAATTTGGAGCCAAAAGTAGTTGGTGTATCGTCTGATACCTTGAGAGCCTCAAGACGCCAGCCATCTTCTGGATTTGGTAAACCAGAGCTACCATTAGTATGTGGGGCTTTTGAAGAAAGCTTTGAAAATAGATCATCTCTAAGAGTGGCCGAGAAAGCTGTAAGCAAATAACTACGGCCATCTGTGAAAAAGACTTCCACTGCAACATCTCGAAACAAGAAGCGACGTTTAGAAATACTAATGACATCGCTCCACTTCCAACTTCTTGCTTCTTGCTCAGTTCTGAGAGGTTGGGTCGTTTTCTCGCTTGCCTTATGACCAGCAATCATTTGTAGATAAGGATCTCGTTCCTCTTTAGGAGCCATCGCAACATTCACGATTTCTCCGTCAGATCTTTGGAAGACATTATCAATCAGATACAGGGAATCCTTGCCTAGAATCAACAGGCCCTCAACTGCTTCTAGTCCAATGATTCTAGAGATATTGAAAACGTGTTGAACTGAATCTCCTCTCTGAAGACTACGCATGACCTTTCTATTTTTGTCTTCAAAGCCATCATCGCCGTCGCCAGGCTCATTAGGATCATCAACAAGCTCAAAATCTTCTTCTTGAACAACATTATCCGGAATTTCATTTGATGTTTCGTCTGATGGATTCTCAGTGTTCCTCCCAGTTCCATTTTGGCCATCAAAATCCCTAGGTGGTGACACTGCAGACCTCGGTGTCGAATCGATGTGCTGAGAAGGGGCGAGGCCTCCAACTTTAGTGTTAACCTGTAACAGATCATTTGTGTTTGTATCAGTGGGACGTCTTTTGGGTTTGTAATCATAATTTGGAGCAGCGCGATCAGGTAGCATACGAAGGCGCATGCGATTCCGACCCTCGGTCCTGTCCAATTTCCACTTCAAGGAAATCCCGCGATCAAATACAGCACATGGTCTATGGAGTTCTCGATCCATCCTCGAAAAGGTAGAAACGAGGAAACTGAAATTATCTTGCTGATCTTGTTGTGCTCTTTGGTGCTTAAGATGTTCGGATGCATAAATGTTTTTCATCCATAAGTTTGATGCGAGATCATGACGAAACAATATATCTTCATCATTAAGATCATCTGCATGCCACTGCTTGAGCTTTTCGCGACGTTTAGTAACGCGGACCTTAAGAGTATCTTCGTTCTTTTCATTTTCCGCGTTAACGAAGTCTTCCCAAGCACGAGACATTGCACCAAAGAACAGAGCATCAAGCTCAGCTCTGTAGCTATCAACCCATTCCGCAAAAGTCTCATTATCTAACTCGGTAAGCTTCTTAAATCCTGAATCTAGATGCTTGTATTGGCCTGGCATAGCATGACGTAGCATATTAGATGTCTCTTCGGGCTTCTGAACAAGCAATATGCGCCAAAGATTTGCAGCCGCCAAACGTATACTTTCTTTATTATCAACCAATTTGACATAAAGCTGGTAACAGATGAGTTTCAAGAAGTTATCTTCAGTTACATCGGCAGACAGAACTACGGTTTGCCAATAGAGCAGCTTATCCATAAATGCTAATGCTTCCGA